GTCCACGTCTCCTGCCTACGTTGAAGTACCTTGATAGCTGTCTCCTCAGATTTCTTCAATAATTCATTTCATCCATCTGGCATGCACTCACTTATGCTAAAGAAAACAGTCAAGAAATCGAGGGGGGTGAAAAAGAATATGGCGCTGTGTGGAGGGGACACGGGGCCAGGATGTCACAGGACAGGTCAGCACACACAGAGAGGAAACGGAGGTGCTAAACAAGCGGGAGTCACTTCTGAGGTCCAGTGTCCGGCCCTGGGGGCTCATGGACATTTCAGAAACAGCTCGAATGTAAACGGCGGGTGGGCCGTCGGGGGGCGGGGGGCCAGCTCCGCTACCTGTATCTGCCCGCCGCTCTGACCTCAATCTCCACTGATCGATCAGCAAGCCAGTACATCAAAAATGCCTGTGAAACGGTGGGAATCTTTGTCCTCGGGACAGCGTGTGCAGTGAGACTTAGAGGAGACGGCTGGGGACTTCTAAAGTACAGTCTATCTTTAACTTCAGAGGAAATAAAGGAAGACATTTTAGGTTTTTTGAAACAGGTCTTCCTAGGTATTTCATTTGAGGCAGAATTTGAAATAAACATTTCACTTATTTTCTTTTACAAGTATTTGAATTCTGTATCCTCATAAAGGATGCACAAATAAGCAAATAATGTAAATTATGGGTTTATGTTCCATAAACCTCAAATTCTGTCCTATTTCATACCCCTTGCAAATTATATATTTTAAGATCAGAAAATGCCACTATGGAAACATTATATATTAATGTCAAGGAAAAGTCTGTATTTGTTGCAAGGAAGATTTTGTGTGCATTAGGGAGGGCACTGCGTTACCGTGATGGGGACATTGGGGCAGCTAACGAGATGTCAACCTCTAGGGAACCACAGCAAGTCCCTGCTGACAGCCCGGAGTGGATTTTGGTGGTAATGTATTACTGTAGTTACATCTCTGCTGAGAAAGCCACCACAAACCCAGGACAGCAAAGCTATGAAGAGCCACACTGGTCTAGTCAGTCCCATGGCTTGTTCTGAAATGCTTTCAATATACGTGGAAATACTGCCTTTTGAATCTTGCATTTCTTGAAACAATTTTATTCAAACCTGTGCCACACAGTGACATCAGTGACCTTATCATCACTTCTGCCACCTTCTGAATCTTTTTTTCCAAAACACTTCCAAGTTGTTGACATGCAGCATTTTGAAAATCCTTTTTTGATGCCACCACTGATCATATCTTTGGTTTTACAGACACCCCTTTAAATAGTTCCCTCCTTAGCTAATTGGTATGCATTTTCACTATGCCAATCTGGTGCCACATTTGTGTGGCCAATATTTAGGCCCAAAGGTGCAAGTATTTGAAATTCAAATCATTACTGAGAATTTTCATTGCACTGTTTGTATTAAATCCATAGAACTAAAAAAAAAAAAAAGTGATGTGTTAACAAGGTATACGTTTTCCTCAAGACTTTAAAGAAAATAGACAGTATTAACAGACAGGATTTTGTTTACATCCTCCTTAAAAAGCAGAATGAACCCTGAACAGTGAAGGGCTAGTGAAGTGCCTTCGCATACGTGCCCGTTAGCGCTGGGCTGGCGCCCCGGTCCCAGGAGACCAGGCCGGGCTCCGAGCCAGGTCGCGGCTCTGCAGGCCGGCTGCCCAGCGACTGCACCCGGGCAGCTGGGCTCTGGCATTGAGGTCTGTCTGCACCCAGGTCTGCACTTACAGCTGTCAACCCGTTTCCTTCTCATGAAATGGGGATGCTATTATCACTTTGCAGAGGCTGATCCAAGACGAGAGACATTATGAGTTTGCTGCTGGAGGCACAGCAGCCACTGGGTGACTGCAGCTGTCCCTGCCCGGTCGCTGCTGTTTGGATCTTAGCTCTGAGCACAGACTTCAGTGACACCAGCGCTCCGGCGCCAGGGCTGCCGCGAAGCTCCCGATGCGTGTCGTTCCCCGAGCTGTGAACCCGGACGGTGGCGGAGCCGGTCCCCTGCCCCGGGCTGCCCGCCCGCTTCCCGGCCCGCGGGCGCCCCCCAGCGGCCGCCGTCAGCACCGCCGCTCGCCGCTCACCCCACGCAGCACCGGGCTCCTGGGCTAAGAGGCGGCCAGAGCCGTGAGCGCGACTGAGAACCCGCAGGGGATGTTTGCAGCGTGGACACGCGTGTGCAACCCTGAAACGCAGCTGCCGACGGTGCCCGAAAGGCAACGCCGTCAGAATAATGAAGACGTGTATTTCTTCTTGTCAAAGAGACAAGAGCCCGGATTGCAGGAGCAGCGAGACCAAAACGTCCACTGGGCGAGGCAACCGGTGGCTATCGAGTGAGTCAGCGAAGGAATCAGCGATTGTTACACCGCCCTTGGCTTCATCCCCAAACACGCCATTTAATTTGGGGGCTGCCAACATCAGGGACAGGGACGAGTACACTGTGCCTCAGTGTCAACGAGGCTTACAGAAAAGGCAATTGTTTGAAATAAAAACCTAGACCGAATGGCAAGTAGGAAGTTGAATGAGCCACCGAACGTGAGCTGAGTGATGAACCAGTTCACCTGCGGGCAGGTCTCCAGGGGCATCCCCTGGGCTTTGCTCCGAGTTCCTGCTGCCCCCTTGAAACCTTCAGCACGTGACCCAGGTGAAGACACGCACCTACCAACGTGAACAGGAGCCGTAACGACGAAAGCAAGTGTCGTCCAGGCACCAAATGGCAGGAGGAAGAGAGGAAACGGAGAAGGCGAAGTCGTCTGTGTAGACAAACCGTTCCGTAGATGCAGGAAACTGGCTGAAGGGGCGCACGTGGAGAAGTACCCGGCCTGCTGGCTCGGCTGCTGCAGGCTCACAGACAGCAAGACGGCCGCCAGTTACCGGGGCACAAGTCCTAGAACGGTGCAGACTGCAGGCCAGGCCAGGCCCACTGGACCACACGGTGCAGGCCCCTGGGTCCTGTGTTCCACCCAAGGCCAGATTTTAAGAGGGACAGCGACCCGCTGGAGGGCGTGCCGAGGAGGAGGCCTGGCCCCCTCAGAGCCTGGGCATCAGCTGAAGGAGCTCAGCCAGCTCAGAAACACCACGATGGTCTTCACGCATCTAACAACTGTAACATGCGAGACAGGCCACACCTGTGATGCTCCTAGGCCGGCGGAGCCCGGGTCAATCCTATACAAACCTACGATGAGCAGGGCCCTCAGAAATGCAGTGCACTGCCCGGTGAGACACGGACCACCATGGGAAACCTTCCAGAACCCGCTAAGGACTGAGCACTGGGGCCCTTCACAGCTTTGACCTAGGATCTGAGCGGCCATCGGTGGGTCCCAGGCCTTGGACAGCCCTCTGTGCAAGGCGCGTGCTCCCTGGACGTCATCACGCCTGGCAGACCCAGTGTGCGCGTCCTCAGCTGTCACCCAGGTGCCTTTTTCCCTCTGAGGAAAGCCAAGCACGAAGGAAAGAGCGGGTGTCTGGCAGTCACCGCGTCTTTGATTCTAGCCAGAAAAAGGGGCCCGAGGTTCCAGCCCTGCTCTGCGCCCTCAGGGAGCCCTGGGTGTCTCTGCTACGGCACTTCCTGCCATGATAACCGTCTGTTGTTGTCTGTCTGTCTCCGGAGTTCCCTGACAGCAGCAGCCATGTCACTTACATTGCGACCCCAAAGCTAGCGTGTCTGGCTCATGGCAGCTGAATGAGCATTAAATTAGTAACTCAGCCTAAACTGTGCTAGTTTTGCATCTCCTCAATGACAGACTTGTTACACACCCCTCCTCTACTTCCAGCCCCATCACAAGCCAGAATTAACTGAAAATGACATTAAGGCCTATAAATAGAATTAGTCTTTGAGACAAGATTCCTTTACGCTTGTAAAGGAACACCTTTCAGAACGGGGAAAATTAAGTCATACCTTTCTAACTTATAAATATCTAAGTGACATTTGACTCATAAACGACAGAAACTTGTACCTGTCTCCTTCCCTTCAAAACATCCGTTTCTGCTGCACCCTGGCAGACTCTGGGCTGCACAAGCATCAGGGTCTGCGTGGAACCATGAGGACTCATCTTTCATCCTGTCAGCGTTGTGTGCTGATAAGGGCGCATGAAATACACGATTGGATGAAAACAATAATATTGTATTAGACAGTCTTTGACAAAGGGAATTCAAAAACTGCTGCTACTATCACCCAGTGACATAAATTAATATTTAATGACACAACTCTGCACAGATTCTAATGCCAAGCTGAAAAGGGCCACTTAGCATTTTTCTTCGAAGCTGACAGGGAAGTGAGAAGGACGGCTATCGACTTGAACAGATGTGGCACCTCTAGGCTCACTGTTGCTCACAGGGAATGCTCTTCACATGGTGGCCAGATGGTGACCCAAAACATCCACTAAATTTAAAAATTATTTTTTAGCTAACATGATTACAGCATTCAGAACATATTAGGTGAAAAACCTATATTTTAAGCTAACCTGAAATTATTTGAAGAAAGAAGTTAAATATTATTTGTGTGTGTGGAAACTTCTTTATCAAATACCCGTCCATAATATAGACCCGTTTGCAAAGCTGCTCTCAGGGTGGAAACGTGAAGGGTCCTTGTGGTTAGAAGGACCCTCAGAGGGCAGCCAGTTCTTTTCCAATTCAGGTATATCTTTGCCAGAATCGTGGGCAGATGAGCATCCAGCCAATTTTTTGTGTTTTTTGTTTCTTTGTTAGAATTTTGTCATGTTAGCTTTCTGTCATGTAATTAAAAAAATTTATTCAAATAAATTATGTTACAAGAACTTTAAAAACACTTTGAGATCAGTGGTGAAATCTCAGTTTCAAAAGTACTGACTTAGAGTCAACTGTATTGCAAATGTTAAATAGGAAGCTAATTAGGATAAGACGCGAGTCCAGGGTAGAAATGCGGAATTGGCCTTATTTTATTTGGGGCAGTTTGTCTTCCTAGACCCTGTTTAATTTAAGGCAGAGTCTCTTTTCTGCACTGACCAGCTGTTTCCTCCTCTGCCAAGGTATCAGATACACACCGGACTCCAGCACTCTATCATAAGACCCACCCAGCCCAACTGCCTACCTCTGGACAATGCCACCCTCCCCCAGAAGCTCAAGGAGGCTGGCTATGCCACGCACATGGTCGGAAAGTGGCATTTGGGTTTCTACAGGCAAGAATGCATGCCCACCAGGCGAGGGTTTGACACCTTTTTCGGCTCACTCCTGGGAAGCGGCGACTACTACACCCACTACAAATGTGACAGTCCCGGCATGTGCGGCTATGACCTGTATGAAAACGACCATGCTGCCTGGGACCATGACAGCGGCATGTACTCCACACAGATGTACACGCAGAGAGTGCAGAAAATCCTAGCTTCCCACGACCCCAGGAAGCCTCTGTTCCTATATATCGCCTACCAAGCTGTTCACTCCCCGCTGCAAGCCCCCGGCAGGTACCTGGAGCACTACAGGTCCATCGCCAACATCAACAGACGGAGGTACGCAGCCATGCTCTCCTGCCTGGACGAAGCCGTCAGCAACGTGACCCTGGCTCTGAAGACGCATGGCTTCTACAACAACAGCATCATCATCTACTCTTCAGACAACGGGGGCCAGCCCACCGCGGGGGGGAGTAACTGGCCCCTCAGAGGGAGCAAGGGAACCTACTGGGAGGGGGGCATCCGGGCCGTGGGCTTCGTGCACAGCCCCCTCCTGAAAAACAGGGGCACGGTGTGCAGGGAGCTGGTGCACATCACCGACTGGTACCCCACGCTCGTCTCCCTGGCGGAAGGGCAGATTGACGAGGACGTCCAGCTGGATGGCTACGACATCTGGGAGACCATCAGCGAAGGCCTGCGCTCGCCACGCGTGGACATCCTGCACAACATCGACCCCATCTACCCCCGGGCGAGGAACGGCTCCTGGGCGGCCGGCTACGGGATCTGGAACACGGCCGTGCAGTCGGCTGTCCGGGTGCAGCACTGGAAGCTGCTCACGGGGAACCCAGGCTACAGTGACTGGGTCCCACCTCAGGCCTTCAGCAACCTGGGGCCAAGCCGGTGGCACAACGAACGGGTCACCTTGTCAACTGGCAAGAGCGTGTGGCTTTTCAACATCACCGCCGACCCCTATGAGAGGGTGGACCTCTCGGGCAGGTACCCCGGCGTCGTAAGGCAGCTGCTGCGCAGGCTGTCGCAGTTCAACAGAACCGCGGTGCCCGTCAGGTACCCCCCCAGGGACCCCAGAAGCAACCCTCAGCTCAATGGGGGAGTCTGGGGGCCCTGGTACAAACAGGACAGCAAGAAAAAGCAGGCACACAAAAGCAAGGCTGAGAGGAAGCAGAAGAAAAGTAAGAGAAAGAAGAAACCACAGGACACAGGCTCCGTCCCCAGGTGCCACTCGGGTGCTCATCGCGGCTGAGTCCCGAGCCTTCCCGCCTGCTCGAACGCAGGTCACGTCTCAGTCCCTCTACAGTGCTGAAGGCCAACCAGCAAGGGCGGCCCAGCACTCTCACTGCACAAGCAGCAGACTTGTCACATCGGGCCACCTGGCCGCCATGTGGGGCACTTGTGCTCGGTGCCAAAGGGGCTGGCATTGGTGCCACGCTTAGAGGACATGGACACATCTGTCCCCTGCTCCTTTATAAAGCTGCCCTGGACGGGATCGGCTCAGCTGCTGTGCTTCCAGGGCCCAAATGCTGCCTGAATTCCAGCAGGGACAGTAACACGCGCTCGGCCAGTGGCCAGCTAACTGCACAGAAGCTCGGGCAGGGCCTGGGACAAGTGGCGTCAAAGCCGATGGCCCTCAGGCTCCAGAAATGATTTCCTTACAGAGTTTCTGTGTCTCCACATGTGGCACGTGGGTCCTCAGACAGGTTCTACTTCTCGTGTTATTTTGTTATTTCCTTTCCTGTGAAAAGCAGCTGTTTTTCTCACATGAGCAGCTCGTACCTCATTTTGTCACACGTGAGGGGACGGCAAGTGACGACGTCTGAGCACACCGCCAAAACATGAATGTAACTGTTTTCTAAACACTTTAATAGAGGACGTTTCAGCGTAAAGTACTTAACTTATTTTTATAGAAACAAAGTAATTATTTTGTTTTCATAAAAAGTTATACAAATGACTTTTAATTATTTTATTTCCGACATACTATTAGAATTTTATTTCATATCCTCAAGATTACCAAGCACTGTAATACTACAAATTACTGTAATACTGTGTGAATACACAGAACATGAAAAGAAAATTATGCAGAAAAAATGATCATTAATCAGCATTATTTTGAATATAAGATGAATATACTCCTTAAAAGTTACTTGGAAAGGCAATGTTTGTACAGAGTTGAATGACAATTCTATTGCTTCTATCATAGCTTATTTATGTATCTTAATTATTAAAATGATTTATTTTATAGCACTAGCAAATTCAGCATGGCTTTTCTGATCTAACTTCTAGATAACATATTATTCATCTTAACAAACAAAAATCTTTATAAATAGGCAATTGAAGGTACAATTTACTAACAACCGTACTAAATAGCATGGGTTTTGCAAATAAGAGATGGTCCGCTTGCCTACTACATGGAGAAACCGTTCTCTGTTACTGAATAACACTGATACTGACCCTGCTCTTACACAGAGGACACAGTGGGGAGACGGACAGACATGCAGCCATGGGTCCTGCGAGGGGCGGCTCTGACCCGAATTGTGGGGCTGTCTGTCTACAAACACCATGAGGAGCCCAGGGCAGGTGGCCCTGCGGTGTGTGACAGGCGCCCTGGGGCAGGCGGGGTGGCCCCCGTGGGCCCCGGAGCTTCCCCTAACGGCCCGGGTAATACAGAGGCCTCGGGGCGGCTCAGCCTACACGGGAGGGCGGGGAGCAGGCCTGGGACACCCGAGGCTGCACTGTGAGAACAGCGTGGGTGGGGCCCGCCAACCGACGATGAAATACCTTCAGATGAGAACTCAAAGGACTGCCCCTCACAGATTATGGAAACCAATAAAAGAATATACAGTCTATTACTGAAATTACTAACTAAAACAGACAAAATGATTAAACGTTTTTAATTTTAAATATTTTGCTTTCAGAATATATAGTTCCATCTCATTATGTAGGATGAAAAGCTACTTCCTGAGTTGTGTTTTGTCAGCTGTAGATTTAAATGGGTCATAAAACTCAAAGGCACATCATCTGTGTTTTCCTTGCCTTTCTTAGTGGCACATAAAATAATGAGATGACTCATAACACATGGTGTTTTATAGTTCAAAATATACACAGTTATCGTCCTACTAAAAGTTCTGATGTAAAATAAGTTCGGGAAATGCTGAGTTAAAGGGTGACTTCAGTGCAGATTTTCTTAGGGTGTTGAAATTCCTAGTTTTCCTTTTAAATCTGTAACAGAAGGAAGCTTTTTAGACAGTATTTTCTAATTTATTTCACCATAAAATCCTATCTATAACACATTGCAGGGAACTAGGCAAAGTACAGAATAGACTTTGAAAGTTGCTAGTGTAAACAGAACCTTCTAGAAGTTCCCTAGCAAGTCAAAAAAGGAGCAAAGGGGCCAATTGGGATAATGAAAATTAATATGTGAACCCAGAAGGCATCATGGGATATGATGTGATTTCCAGATCCCTATAAATGACCATAACTTTCTCATTGAGAATAAAGTAGCTCGCAGTTTCCTACCTGGAAACGACTCCACAGTTGTTGTTCCCTGGCTGTAAGCACCCAGCATGGCACTGGGCAGCCTGTGACTTAAGAGAAGACTGTGTCTTGCCCTTAAGAGCGAAACTCTAATATAGTCATCATGTATAAATGATGACCGTTTCCAAAATGCTGTCAGAGTCAGTGGGCATCAGCAGACGCCCTTCACGTGGGTGCCCTAATCTGTATACGACGTGATGCCGACACCCGTCTCCGGTGCCCTGACATGGCCCCCAGAGAGCTCTCCTAACCTGTGACCCTCTGGTGGTAACACAGAGAACCAACCCCTCCATTGACAAAAGGGTCGCAGCAGCTTTGTGAGAAAACCATGTGTGGGCATGGCTCTGTGTCTTGGATGAGAAAAGACAGGAACCATTTTCTCCAAATCACGAGACAAACAAAGCTCTTGGTGCCCTTCCGTGTGCCAGGTCCCCCACAGGACCGGTTCCATCCATCCTTACATACTCTTTCCTCACTTTTGAAAAAATGAGTTACAGTTTCCTTGACCTGGCCCCTTTTTACAACCTCAGGACTAGAGGAGAAACTGGGACCGAGCACATGGGTAACACACGGCCACCTCTGATGCCCGGGGCACATGGCTCTGGCACCAGGATCAGTACCTTTGGCCCTGTATTCACAGGACCCTCGGGCACGCAGATGGCGAGTTTGCTGGCAGTGCTCAGAAAGTGTGTCGTTGGCAGGATCGAGATAGCTTGCCAAAAGTGGCAAACAAAACTTAGGTCACAAGCTAACGACTGCAATGCCCCCTTTTAGCGAATTACTTATTAAAACTCGTTCATTGAACAAGTATTCCTTAAATCCTCCTATCTGTCAGGCAGTATTTCTAGATGCTTGAAATACATCAGGGAACAAAACGGGTAAAAATTCTTACCCTTGGGCAGGCTACACTCTAGCCGAGTTAGACAGCCAAGAGTAATAAGCAAATTAGATGCTGACAAAGAAAGAGCTCATGGAAGAGAAAGATCCACTCAGCACCACGTTTATCCATCCATTCGCTCAACATTTACTGTGCCACACGCAGTGATGCACGCTGGTGGGGTGACAGTAACATGGGACAGGGCCCCACCGCCAGGGGTGTGCATTTTCCCGGGGGACACACAGCACGAAGCACAGGACCAGCCACTCTCCTCCCCACGCTCTTCCCTGTAATATACCCTGCAATATATTTCCTGTTTTACTTACGTATTTTCTGTACTCTGTCTCCTCCCACTAGGGTATAAAGCTTCTTAAGAAACGTGATCTATATCTACTCCATTGACAGCACAGAAAACAGTGCCGGCTCATAGTCAGCATTCAGTATTTAGTTTTTGAATGAATAAATAAAAATCACATATGTCCATACATTTAACTACATTTGCTTGGGTTCCACTTTTCATGTCCTGTGTAGGGATTTCACTGTGGAAAATAGAGTGATTCATCTTTAACACCTTTCCTCAAAATAATAGCAATGATGTGAAATGCAGAAATTTCTAGCACATAAAAAAACCAACTCTAATAATGCAGATTTATAGGAGCAGAGTGTTACAGCAAAGCCAAACAAAAATTATGCAAAACTGAGAACAAATTTTATCCCTATAATCTTATTATCTAATATGGTAAGACTCTACTTTGAATATTACAGAATACATTAAACGGGAGTTTTCAGGAAGCAGAGAAAGGCTTATGCTGTGAATAATTTTTCTGTAGCAAATTGTGAAAAGGAAGGATATAAACAGCAAATGCACCTCTATGTCATCATAGAATTATGAAGCCAAAAGACTGTATACCTCACATCCTTGGGTATTTTACTACAAGGCTCTCCAATCTGCCAGAGCAGGAGTTTGGCTTCTTCAAAAATATGCTTTTCCTCATTTCATTGCGGGTAGCACGTCTGGGAAGCACCGACTCGCCGGTGGGATTAGCCAGTAAACACGACACCAGTGTCTTTGGGAGTTGGGCGGGTTTGACCCTGTTCACCTCCTTTCCCTTTTCATAGCTATGATTTCAGGTCTCCTTCCTCTCAAATCTGCTGCAACCCGATAATATTCTTGTCCACCGACTTATGCAATTTTGGATAAAATCAATCCCCAAAAAGTGAAAAGGAGCAAGAAAATAACAAGCTCGTTCGAATGTCTCTATGTGTTCACTCTGCAGAAATCCTTTAGCTGAGAATTACAAGTGGGGAGCATTTATCTCATGAATCAAATAAAAGTAAAACTTGTCTTTCAGGAACAAAGTCCAAAACCAATTTTCAGTATGACTTATATTCTCTCTCTAGAAAGAACACGTCAAGAGCCAGTTCCTCCAGTCCTGAGAGTGGTGAGTGGCTGGGGAACAATTTCAACTAGTTTTCCAAATCTAAACAACTATGAAGAAGTGTTTTATAATCAAAGTTAAAAATGAAACCTTGATTCTGTTCAGTGTCTGAAACCATTTTTCAGGGCGCCATCACCGGAAGTTCTAGACACTCCTTTTCAGCACATCTCCCAGCCTGGAGCCCCCGTCTCCAGCACCTGCCCGCACACCTTTCTCTGTTTTGGGTTTCCTGACTGGGAAGACCAAGCCCTGTAGCACCGGGGAGCTGGGGAGTTACTAGCATCAGCAGCCACAGTACTTTTACTTGACACCAGACATCACTGCAAAAAACATAGAGGTTCAGCTCACATCACCCCAAAATACTCTGCCTTGGCATCCTGGTTATTTTGAGTGAGTTAAAGGCACTTTGACAGCAAAGACACATGAACGTGTTAAACAGAAAAGCCAGGGCCTCCTTCCTGGTCGGCACCATGAGTACATGCTGGGTGCTTCCCAACGTCCTCCTCACAGATGCTAAGAAATAACGAGATGATAATCACATCAAGCATATTATTTTATTCTTTAAAATACAACAAATGCATCCTAAGCATTTGTGAAGAAAGATTCTGGCATGTCCATGGCGTGTGAATTGTCTCATGAGCATAGAAAACTTTTTTGTTATTGCCTCTAACTATAGGTCATTAACACACAGTTAATTATGCTATCATTTTAGCTTTCAAAAGTTATGATGGGGAAGTTCTACATTAATGCAGCCCTGAGGGATGATGGGAACCTGAGGGGACGCCGCGCGTGGGGGTGGAGTTTTAATTTCGTCAGGTGCAGTGTTGTGTGGATACACCGGGCCTGGGGAGAGACAGGGGAGGTAAGTGGAGGGTTTTCTAATGGAACAGTATCCACCAGAGGGAGCACAGACAGAAAGAACATAACACCAAGGTTGACCGTTAAACTAAATAGCTTTCCCAAGGCTTCAGTATTATAAAAAAGATCATTTCCGAAATGACACCTGCCCTCTTTCATAGAAACAAAATGTCATAAAAAAACAGACATCATTTTTGAACAGCGGCTCTGTGGCCGTATTCGTATTTTGAATCAGGCCTTTCATCACAATAAGCCATAAATAAAATATGAATCGAAGCCTTCGCTTCACACATTAGTGGCCAAATGCATACGTAATGCACGCTTCAAGTCTGTCTCACTTTGCACAGTGAATGCAAACAGATAAGAAACAGGCACCTCATTTAAAAGTCTACAGCCTCATTTAATCTTGGCAAATGTGACAGGAGAGAAGTAGTTGCTGAAAGATGCTGAAGCCACCAAACCAGTGAAATTTTAAAACATCTCAGAGCACAAAGCCAGGGGCCTGTCGCTGCCCTGTGGGGTTATCTGCACACTGAGGGACCCTGGTGGCTTTGGAATGACCTTTCAGAAACGTGCGGCCCTGAGAAGAAACATGACCCGCTCTGTGGTCTGTGAGGCCGAATCTGAAGGTGGTGTTGAGCACCCCGCAATTCCATCTTGGTCTCACGCGTCGTCTCAGAGCTTCCAGTTTCCATCTTTGTCTCCATCACTCAGTCAATGCTGATATTTACTGAGTGTCTTCAACAGAGATCACACTATAACTGAAAATACTATTCTACATCGTCATTTCAGTGTTATGACTGTTGCTAGCACCCTTTACATATGTGTGTGTTGCACAAGAGTTTGCAATATATACAGATAGAGGGTGCTAGCAACTGTCATACACGTGCTTACATACTTACTTTATACACGTAAATATGTGTTACAAATGCTTTTATATTTCTGTGTGTGTATAATCACAGAAGTAGTTCACAGGCATAGACTACTCAGCACCAGGTTCCGTTTTGGGCACTTTCTGTACATTCACTAACTCTCCCAGCAACCCCATGTATTAGATCCTATTATTACCCCATTGTATCAAAGTGGAAAGCTAGGGACAGAGAGATGAGGTGACTGGCCCCAACTCCCAACGCCATAGGTATGGGGCGGCACTGAAACCTAGACAGCCCAAGCCCAACACTCTGAGCTGCTGATGGAGCACACTGTGGGAGACCCCAGTGCATCTGGGACAAGGAGGGGGTGCCAGTGAGTGGGCAGCTACCAGCCAACACGTGAGAAGTGCGGGGCTGAGGCCCGTTCTCCCCTAAACGTCCGCCCAGGGAGCCAGGCGTGTTGCGCGCGAGCATGTCCTTCTCTTAGTAGCAGTGACACTTCCAGGCAGAGCTCTTTAGAGAGGGATGAACTGTTTCCTTCCTTTCCAGCTGGTCGAGATGCTACAAACATTTCTTCACGTCCTAATGGGAATTGCAGGCCTGAAGTGTCTTTAGAAATCCTCCCCTAGTCAATGCTTCCTGCCCAGATGCAGGGTACCCCACCCCCGTTGCTCTAACAAACGCCCCCCCTGCCGTTAGAGCCTAAAGGACATCCTTCCCATGTTGTTCCCATGGACACACCGTCTGCACCACCCACCTGACAGGTGAGCGTTTCCTGCCGTGTAGCTTCCACCTCTGCCGCGTTGGCAGCCTCTTATCATCTTTGGAAAACTCTTTTGCGACTGTGTGTGCCTTCTTTCTACAACCTGCAGGATGCCATCAAATGGTTTGCACGCAGAGCGAATACCTCCGGATGACTGGCGGCATGGCGGCGGGCGGAGGCTCTCAGCGAGCCTGCGTCCTGGCTCGGCCCGGGGCGAGTTGGCAGGCACTGCCTGCTGCCCTGCGTACCCAGCTCGGCACACATGCTTCATTCTTTCAGATGGTTGCGAAGGGACGGATTGTGGTACAGAAATTTGTTTGAATCTGTAAACCTTCTGCAGGAAATTCTTGCAATACAAAAAGCAGTAACCTTACAGTACAGGCCTGATACTGCTAATATGCACTTTAGCTATTAGTAGAGTTTTATCCTGATAATCAGTATGAAATTGGTTGTGCACTTTTGTAAAGAACTAAAGGACATTTAATAAATATGTGACAGGTGAATGAGTGAATGCATGACGTTGAAGTTATGGCCTTGACACTATTTAAGCATGAGACGACTTATCGCTGGGTGGACAACCGGTGAATTGTCTAAGATCAAAGGCCGCTGTTTTATTTTATTGTAATGGAATGCTACCCCACCACATTTCATCCTGACCAGAAGTGTTAAACAATTTTCAGTTTATTTTATCAGCTCCAAAACATACAGGTAAATGTACTGAAGGGGGTATTTCAAAACCACATTTAGGAATAATCCAAAAACTAAATCAAAAAGGAATTCACTGTAAAGAGAAAAGCAAGTAAAAACTGTTCTTAGCATGTTAGGTCTAACACGTCTTTTTCAGATAACTAACTAACCCGTGTAAGGCTCAGAGAATTCAATCTTGAAAAAGCTCTGAAACTTAGGTGATGCACTAAAAATGGAGGTAATGAAAAATGTTTATGTTATAACAAGCATTTGAAAGTGAAATTTTGTTCTTTTTTATGTGATATTATTTCTTATTGTTTTATACCCAAAAGTCTAAGCCTCAGTACCAAGTGACCTTCAGGCTTGAAAGACAGTACAGCAAAACAATTTGTAAAGCCAATTTTTAGTGATTCACCAAGGAATTCGCTGGTTCTTAACATTTCAAAGTAACACTTTCATGTCAACATTATTAGAAATAAATCCAATTAAGGTACAGAGCTTCTGTGAAGAAATGCCCATTGGACCTCGAGAGGCCGTTTCTGCCTCTCCAGGGAAAATGACATTTTTTTTTATGTAAAACTAAAACTGGAGAAAAACTAAACTAATGGAGAAATCACCATTTGAACTTCACGTAAAGCAAATGTGTCGCATTCAACACCACTCCTTCCTCATGTACCCATAATGTGACTCACTCGTTCAATCAAAAATACGCACAACAGAACACAGCTCCCGCAGACCTGAGGCCCCACAGACAAGACACGATAGCCGCTGTGGTTCAGGCCTTCTGAAGAATTGTTACATCTTACACGTGCCTACTTTGTAAAATGCATGTTCAGGCACGCACGAGCGGAAGCCCGGAACACGAGACCCAGGAATGTCCATGTATGTGCAGGCTGGGGTACGGGACGCGACCCGGGAGCCTGCTGCACAGGTGCGTCAGCTCTGGTTACAGAAGCCCTTATGTCAGCATGACTTGCACTTGCAGGAGGGAGGATGGCACTCCATGGGCTCGCCTCCCCCAAACCACTACATAATGGTTGCTATTGCTGATTAAAAATGCTGGTTCCTCCTCA